ACTGTTAAATTTTAAAGCATTTCTGTTATTATGCGTACATAGTTTTATGATTACCTTTACTTATTACACAAATCAATGATTAATTTTTTCACTTTTAAGGTCATGTGTTTTAATTTGTTTAAAAATCTTAAATATACCTTATATATTAAATCTTTAATATAGAGAAAAATATTGTAATAGTCAAAGTTGCTTGAGAAAAATAGGACTATTCGAATTAGCTGTTAAAAATAGGTGTTTAGATTATGTAAGTTTTACTGCATACGTGTGCACCTCAAAGGTTAACATTTTAAAATTAGAATCAAAATGCGTATTTAAAAACTACCTATATCTTCTTAAAAAAAAACCCCATTACAAATGGAGTCCATCTGGCGAAACATTTTACATAACTATTTTACTGAAACACACTGTATCTATACCTTATAGGTACATAAGCTATTCCATGTTGCGTTATGAATCAACGAAAATCTTTTATACGGATCGTCGGGACTCGCGAGACATGGGAAAACACTCAAACGCACGTATTGTAAAAATCGAAAATGGGATTGTTGAACTTGTCATGTTCCGCGCTTATCATTATTATTAATATTATCGTCTCATGGATGATTATCAGCTATTATATTTTACCGGCAAATTGAAAATGTAAGTAAATATAAGTGTTGTGTTATACTAAAATTTATTGCGTATGTTTTTGATACTTAGTCATGAGTACGCGTTCATTGAAATCATTTTGTTAAGAGTGTCAATGCATTAATTCGTTATAATTACACTCACTTTTCATCGCCACACTTAGCGCGTATACATTGTCTTATCTTTCTAAACATACGCACTTGAGAAAATTAGATACCAATATTTTCTTTTTTTGTCTAATGCACATATACATGCAGCAAAGCATTTTAGACATATTTTACTTCAATCGGTAAAATTGATGTAGCGAAACGATAAGAATTCCGAAAAACAGATTTGAATTCAGCATGATAAAGTGTACACTACATTCGATACAAATAAATTTTAGTTTTTTTTTTTTTTAAATTTTATATATATATTTTAAAATCAAATTTTTGGAAATTAAGGACTAAAATGCAAAAAAAAAAAGGTGGTCCGGTCGGCCACGAGTACACGTCACACACTGAATTCAAATCCGCTTTCAGAATTTGTATCATTTTACTACATCGATATTTACTTCTGACTGAAATAAAATTGGTATAAACAGCTTTGTGTTGGACAAAGAAACAATACGTTGACATCCGACTCCCTTAAAGCTTTTTCAATTATGTCAATCCAGTATAGGTACACAGAGAAATAAAATGCATATAATTGCGTATAATTATAATTACTTTATACGTCTCCCATTACCGAAAGTACACAGGCTCATGGATTTTTAGTATAGGTTCCAATCTATATAATTACCTACCTATATATGTGTTTTCATCGCAATAAAAAAACTACTTTCGCTTGAATACCATGCTACGTGAATTTCTTCTTTTTTGTAATATTGTTAACAATACACATTAACGATCGCCTTACAAAATCGGTTGAACTATTTTTTAATTTTCTGGAATTACGTAGTACCTGTTATATATGTGTGTAAAAAAAAATTAATAACGACAATATCTATTATGAATTTATGTCAACATATTATGATATTATAATTAGGTATAATAATTATTTTTTAAAGAACTTTCATATTCTTTAATTATAATTAGGTGTATAGTGTTATATAGCGTATAGATATATGCTATATCTATATTATACCTGCTATTTAGTTATGAGAGTATGCACATCATGAATTTTAAAACACATATAAAGACGACGACGAAAAAATAATTCAATAATTTCTCTTATTTCATCATTTTTAAATAAATCAATAAATAAATATGCGAACCGTTAGAATATTCTTTTCAAATTCTTCGTTAATCGTTATAAATTATAAATAATTTATCGTTTTATACAGATATAAATTAAGTTATTCTATACCTATCCAAATATCCTATGTCTTCCCAACATCCCACCTACAATATTGGCAGACTCATCTGCAGAATCATTAATTTTTTTAAAAGTGTACCTTATGTATATTTAATCAGTAGAGTACTTACCGAGAAAGGTTTTTCGGGTTCAACCCCCCTCCCCTCCCGAAAAAGAACAAAACATTGTGAATAAGTATTATACTATAGGTATTTAATGTTAAATTGTTACAATGTTACTCTCTTAAATCACTCAGAACTCAAAGTAAATAAGTATAATAAATAATAATTTAATAATTAGGTATGTTTTAATTATTAAGTGTTTACAATCGTTTTGTATACCTAATTAGTTCAAACTGTTCAAAAATATGCCAATGTAACAATATTATTTATGTCCGGGTCTTGGGTGTACATTATACATATATAAACAGTATATTTTATTAAAGGTGAAAAAAAATATTGCGGGATTATCCGGCTATGTTGTCAATAAACAAAAGTTATTCAGTTACCCCCGACGAGGTGTCAGTTGAATAATCAAGTAATAAAAAAAGGAGGCTGGAGATTTTTTTATAAATGTTCACTTCAACAGTATCTATTAATAATAACTAATAACTGCCAAGAACTTTGTAAAGATTCGTATTTTTTTTATTAATTATTAGTACCTATACGCGTTTGATTATTAAGAAAATAATTGTCCTTATTTGCCTAACCCCCAACTCCCTCCCTTCAGAGCAAGATTGAATGTGTACCACTGCATTAAGTAAATAGTCGCGATATAATGTTATTATTATTGAATTAAATAGTAAATATTATTATTGTAGTACACGAAATCAAAAATTTAATTTACTTACATTTAGTTGCTTAAATTTCCTAAATTTATCCATCTATATTTACTTAATACTTTTAAATCTTGGCATTTAAGGGGATTTTAATGTTCATATTGCTGTATTATAACGCTACGAAGCGGAACAATTTTTTTGGCATGATCTTGATAGAGACTCAAATAATCAAATAATACGCAGTAATCATTGTTATATGCGGTATAGATAACCGTGGTTGTAAATTTATAATACGCTAGTTAATAATAGGTATTTACCAACGATCTACCAGATTTCTATACCGTATCAGTTTGAAAATAAACCGATTTCCCGCGTTGAAACTAGAGGAGAGTCGACCTTAATTTCGGTCCGCTACTTGATGTATGGTAACGATCTATATTACATATTTAATGATGTATGTGGTTTCTAGTAAAACGTGTATAAAAAATGTACACATCACATCACATTACTTAAATCACATAAATCATTTTGTGTGTGTATTTTTTTATAATATTTACCATTATAAAATGAATATCGGAATTTACATAATCTTTTGCTTGAACTGCGTAAACCATACCCTTTATTGGCTACGGGATACTTGGCGTGTAAATACTAAACGGTTTTTACGAACGAACCACTGTTGTATATGGGACGTTTGGACGTTAAATCGTTATAATTAAAAGAAGAATCCGAGTGGGACTCGTCAAACATAAAGGCATAAAGTAATACTATAATATTATTAGTCGTGTTTCCGCTTGTAATCAAATTAGCCCAGAAATCAACATAAATTTAAAAAAAAAACCCGCAGTGTATCGTAATTATTTTGTTGTCAGTATTTTTTTAAACATTTTTTTTTTTATTTTTTTTTTTTTTTTGTTCGTTCGAATAAACTGTTGGTAAAACGTGGAAACGTGTCTCAATTAAATTATTTTCATACGATTTCTCCGGGATTCGTCACTGAATTCATTCATTACGGAACGCAAACGCAAACAACAAGACACGGTTGCAACAATGTCGTCACCGCGTCTCCGAGTCTCTTCTAAAGCCGCGGGTAACGGAGTGTATTACCGTGCCGTTAAAATGATCGGCGCTCGGATTCCGGGATAAGGACGCGTGACCCCGGCAAAGCTATTTTCGGGGCCCGCGCCGTACAGAAACCCGAGGGCTTGCCGTCTTCAAAACGTATCAGGAGTACAGTGTAGTATCGCGCATTGTTTCGAAACTACGAGTAATATGCGCTCAACGTTATTATGGTCGTTTTCTATTAAACTGCCAAAAGTCGGAGTTGACGGTATCGCGTTCGGAAGTGATAATACGCCCGTATCGTATGGCCCCCAGCATTTATGTGCGCGTGTGAAGTTTATCGCGGCGACACGATATTTACTATACCGGACGAGCCGCCACAACCGCGCCCCTATGTGCTACCTACACAGCAGCAATTATACTTCCTTTACTTCGCGTTTTACACGGTTAAATTTTCGGCGTGTCATTGTTTTCAGCGGTCCCGGACGTATTGCGACCGTACAGGTGTGCGTCGGGTCACGGGCCACGATCGTCCCGCGTTACGACTGTCCGTCGATACCGCGGTCACGTGAATAATATAATAATAGCAAAAATAATAATAATACGTGTTGGCGGGGCGACGGACGAGACTTTCACCCGCTCGTTTTCGTTAAAGCGGATTACCGAAAATAACCAAAACCGGTCGAGCGCCCGTGAACGGCCGGCCGAACAGCCCCGCCGAAAGTAAATTAAAAACACAGTACCGACCGTATCGCCGAGGTATAATATTATGTTGCGGTGTGCCCCCGTTATTGTGAACGGCGCGCGGCGAGGCGGCGGTAAACCGGTCATCGGTTTTGTGGGTCAATCGGCGGTCGGTTCCCGCGGGGAATGCGTGTGCGCCTCCTCCTTTTCCGCGAACCCGGGCCCGACGAGTACCGGCTATCACGGCTAGGCTCGTGCGTCCGGATTGTCCGCCGCCGCCGAGCCTGTCAGTGTCTTGTTGATAATCGTCACGCGTACGATGAAGACTCGGTTCGCGGGCTCGGTACTAGTGATGTCCGCGGTGTTCGCGATGTTCGCGTCCGTGCAGCCGTCGTTGGCCGCCGTCCCCGCCGCGGATGCCGCCGCCGCGGCCGCCGACGATACGGTCTCGCCGACGACGACGAAGACCATGACAGTGTCTACCACCGGCGTTGCCGAAGGTCGCGGACACTTCCAGAAGATGGCGATGAACCCGTACATGATGATACCGCAGTTGATTGCGCTGGGATTCGCGCCAATCGTTCTGGCCAATCTCAAAATGATGGTCATGTCGGCGTTGATGATGAACAACATGGCCCTGAACGCGGCCATTTTCATGACCATCCGGAACATGGTGTTCGGGCCCCGGCCCAAAGTCAAGTACGTCAATTACGGTTATCGCGATCATCCGCATCATCACCATCACTACGGCGGCGACACGTCCCATCACCACCATCACGCCGGGGACGGTCATCTACGCCAACAGCACCAAGACGAGCAACTGTTACAAACGTCGGTGGACGGCATAGAAACGTACGAGCGCCGCAAAAGGACCGCTGTCTCTTCGTGACCCGGTTTAAACACATCGTAATAACAATAATAATAGTAATAGGTATACATAATATGTGAATCGCAAATGCGGAAAGGGCACAAAATTCGAATTTTAACATTATTTCGAGAGTTACGAAAATACTTAATATCTCTGTGTAAAAAAAAAAAAATGTCATGTTAACTAATGTTCATGGGCGATTTATCCGGAGTGGGCGTAGTAAAATCAAACACCAAAAAGTATTTAAAATAAAATTATATTAATGCGCCCCGTTTTGCTCCGCCTCCGGAGCCCCGTGCTAATGTAACAGTGTTAAATATCGCCTATAAGTCTCTACAGTCGTTCTATGAAATATTTTCAGGGACCGCGTTGACAGGGACACATTGTGGCCCGGGACGCCAAAGCTTTATAAAACTGTATGGCTTGATGATTGTTTTATTTGCAAACGATTCGATTAGAATATTTTACGAATATCGCTTCGGTAATCAGAACAGCGTGTGTGCAACCTACAGAAACGACGCATAGTAAGACGCGTACCTATAGAAAAACATTCAGTGGTAAAGGACGACTCGTGTTCGACGGGAATGCTAAACGTTTGAATACGATTTTAACACAACCGTACGAAAATGACAACATTTTTGGGGGGAGGAGGGATAATAATCTCCCGTTCGTCACCCCCCCCCCCCCCC